AAAAAACAAAAAAAATATATATATATATATATATATATATATATATATATATATATATATTAATGAAGAAACACGTTCAGACCACGGCAAAAGGCAAAAACGTGGCACCGTGTTAGTCTTTGACGGTCCAAACATTTGGATTGTCACTAATATTATTCATTATTATTTGCTACTTGAAGTTGACAACAAAAACTTGCCCCCAAGCAAAACTTTGGATATTCACTTATCTAACATAACTTAACTTGCACTCTAAAAATAGAAAGGGAAAAGGTTGGGCTCGATCTATATTTCTATTAATAATGTTATTTCGACATCTATCTATTTAACCGAAAAAATAGGATTAATATTTAGATTTCGGGTTCTATAATATATGTTATAAGAAAAAAAAATATTATTAGAGGTTAATCTTTTTTATCTATTGGAGCCTCTGAAACGAATTAGTTGCTCCAAGTGCTTAAGCTCTAATGTTAGTACAAACTAACCAATCAATACAGAGGATGGTTCGTTTCTTCTAGTTCTCTCCTACCCCTTCTTTGGCGCTTTCCAAACATCCAAAACAATATATATATTTTTAAAAAAAATCAAACTTTAAATTTACTTTTGGATCAAAAAATATATAATTTTGTTTGATATTTGATTTAATATAAATTGGTAAATATTCTATATACGGGTGTAAATATTCGTAGATATCCGTCTTTTAGTCACGTATAATCGACCTGTATCCATCCTTACCCCATATATATATATATAGTTTGAAACTAATAAAAAAATGTTAAACTTATCTTTAAAATATATACCATGTGCCATGTTGTATGATATTGTAGAGAAATAATGATTGATTTTTGTTTTATTATGATTGAAAATCAATTTTATTAATATAAGCTATAAAAATAGAATTAATTCTAAATATATTAGAAATCTTATACATGTGTTTTTAAATATTTTATCATAAAGTAGTTAGTTAATAAGAGAATATCAAAAATCAATTACGGGAATTTTACATTGTTTGAAATGGTGTTATATAAGATTGTATATGGCAAAAATGGCCATACAACTTTGTATTGAGTTTAAACGTAACGATTAAATTCAACTGTAAAGCTTAACTAAACACATAAGGTTGGTGCAAAGGGTAACATTTTTCCATAAATGATTGTAGTATCAAAGAGAGAATCTTTATCCAATTTGATACTTTCCCATCTGGGAAAAGGAATCTTATTTTCTATATAAAAAAAGAAAAATAACCTTTAGTTTTACTCCCAAAGGAATTCTTATTTGGTGGGATGCTACACTATTTTTCTAAACACAATGATTATGCTTTTTTTTATTAACATAATTAATTTAAATTTCTAAACTTTTAAAAATAAATACTTTTAGATCAGTTTATCATAATGTCAAGGAAATGTTTATATATATATATATATATGTAAGGCATATAATGTTCATAATTGTTAGGGCTTGGAAGTTGGAACAATGATGACATTGTTGCGTTTTTAAGTTGAATTCCAAAGATTCCTCCCTTTTCCCTAATCGAACACAGAGAAAGGGAGCACTTGTGTTATGTTGTGTAAGAATAAGATTCCTACATACATATGATATGCCCCAATATGTTTGCTTTGGACCCTCATCCAACGGCTTATATTCATTCTTCTCTGAATCTCGTGACGTGGATCCCTCTCCTCCGTCCATTTCGTTTGTGCCTCTCCCACTTATTTTTATACCGAAACGGGGAAAAAAAACAAAAAGGAGAAAAAAAATTCTCTCTCGCGTCTTCTTCATCAGCCATAAGCCTCTCTCTGGTATTTGTAGTTCTGTTTTTTTTTTTTTTAAGACAAAAGGAGAAGTGTGTCTCCGATGTCTCTGCGAATCTGTTCCAGATTTTTATAAAGCCTTTTCTTTTTCCCGGAAAGTACGCTGCAAACAGATAATTCTCGGGTTAATTTCTCTGAGCATTTTCCCGTCTTGTTTTTTTTTTCTTGTTGGGAAATTTGATATTTTTGTCGTCTCAGACAAATATATAGTTCGGCTTTTTATTCTCCTGCTGCTTCAATGGCTTCTCACGTCCCAAAACCTTCCCATAAAAGTGCCCCCCCTCTCTCTCTCTCTCTCTCTCTCCTTTCTCTCTCTATTTACATATGTGCGTGCGTTTACGTTTTTGCCGGTGTTTACATATACGCTTGAAATATTGTAGGTATATATATATATATATGTGTGTGTGTGTGCGTATTTTTGTATATATCAGGTCCTGATGTTCATATGGAGTTGCTAGCCCTCTGGTTCTTCCGATTAGGACGATTTTATGTCTGGCTATTTTATATGTTATTAAAGAAATTTGGGTGATTTTTTTTTCCTGGTTGAAAAGATTTGAGCGAATTTTCGTTTATCTTGCAAACGAATACGGAATACATGAGAATGGAAGGGGGAAAAAAAAATCAGAAAATGGGTTTTATATGTATGACTTCGTATTCGGACATGAGTTAACGTTTCAAAAGGTAGAAGAATCAACCCTGCCGAGAAGGCGTCCTGTAGGATGCTCGCCCAGATAAGAAAACAGAAGAAACTAAAGATATGTATATCTATATGATTGCTTACTATACGCAATATATATATATATATATATATATATATATATATATATATATGTTATATCTGTAAATAAAGTATGTTTCTTGTGGAGTTTGGAATGTGTATTGTCTGGTGGCGATGGTTGGGAAATCATAGCTTGTGTAGTTTTTAACTTGGGCAAAGATTATTTGGTTCTGATTGATTTCTTTGGAACTTTCTCTGTGTTTCAGCCATTGAAGATACGATGAAGAACCTCAAGGTGGATCCTCTTGCAAAGATCACCGACTCTGGCACTGACAAGGTAACCTCCATTTCTTTATTATCTTAAATAGAGTCTGTAACTTGGGGAGAAATTCCGCGGCCACAAAGATACAGATGTTCTGTCCTGACAGATGATGATGAGTTTGATAGTGTTTTGCATCAGTAGACAGGAACTTATGTTGTTGTTCTTTCCGTTTTTTTTTTGCGGGGTTTGGGAATTCAAGGTATCTTCGTCAGGAGATGTGAAAGGTAGTGTTGCTGAAAGTGATGATGCAGATTATGAATCTCTTGAGACATACCAAGGGTTGCCATGTCCTTATGGTGGCTACTATGGATTCTATTATCCAGGTTTGGTTCTTCAATCTGACAATACCGAACTGTTTTCTCTTTAGGGCCGGGACATAATGTTTGATGTTTCATATATGTGTTCATATCTGGAATAGTGTGTTGACAGGTCTTGATGGTTCAGTTGGAGAAGCAAAGGATCAAGGACACTATGGTTATGGAACAGAAGTTCAATACCCGGTAAGCTGTCTTATAAAGAAGTCAAGAATTTACTCAAAGAATCATATTCTTTTTCTTGGGAAAAAGTCTAGACAACATATGTTCATTATGTTTTGATTTAGGTTATGCATGGGGAAAACGGTTCTTTGATCTATTTGATGCCGGGAATCCAACCATTTGATGTCAGTAACACATACTTGCCTGTAAGCCCGGTTGGTGTTGATCCTCAGTACACAAGTCAGACACTGCATTCATCCGCTCCGATGTTTGCAGCTCATGGATATCTTCCGAACCCTTACGGTTATGGAGATATTATGTCACCCACCTACTTGTGGGACCCGTCTCTTCTTGCTGGAGATGGCGCATTTGGAGACACATATGGATATGGTTTAGTTGCAAGTCCCCCTGGCCTAAGACAGAACCTGTCTTCTTCGAGCCATAATCACTCGAAGAGCAAGACTTCCTTCTCTTCTTTGAATGCCTTGCCCGGTCATAGTATAGGCAATCAGCCTAAAACTCCAAGCAAGGTGAAATTTTATCCTTCTGGTGTTATGTGTTCTTTATATTCCCTGAGCATATATTTAAACCTTCTTCTGTGTATCTGTTGATCCTAGAACGGCTCAGTTCTCCAATCACATATACAGCGAAAAGGGTACTTCCCATTAACAGCATTTCCGCCGTATAGTCAAGAAAGAACTGGAATGTATTACCCGACTGATGCTATGTGGAAAAGGGCTGGATCTTTTGATTGGGCTGCAACCGAGAGGGTGAAAGCAAGAAACAAAGTTAATGGCAGCAGTATCCGCGAATTTGCCAATGGCCAAGCTCATCTTACAAATGGAGGAAACCATCCTTGTTCCTTGTCCAATGACGGGAATGAGAAAAGAAACTCGGAAGCTTCTGTTGTAATCAGAAAGGATCAATATAACCTCCCTGGCTTTCAGACCATGTATGATAAGGCATTGTTCTTTGTGATCAAATCATACAGCGAAGATGACGTTCACAAGAGCATCAAATACAATGTCTGGTCCAGCACTCCCAATGGGAACAAGAAGTTGGAAAATGCATACCAAGAGGCTCAGAAGAAGAATGAGGAGGAGGGTGTCAAGTACCCGGTTTTCCTTTTCTTTTCGGTATGCTGTAGGATTCTGCCAATCATCTTTCTGGCTTCTTCCGAGATGATGATGATGATGATACAGGTTTTTTTCTTGTTCTGTTCCCTCAGGTGAATGCAAGTGGTCAGTTCTGTGGTGTAGCTGAAATGATTGGTGGGGTGGATTTCGAGAAGAGCATGGATTTTTGGCAGCAAGATAAGTGGACTGGTTATTTCCCGGTCAAGTGGCACATCATCAAAGATGTCCCAAATCCCCAGTTACGGCATATAGCACTTGAGAACAATGAAAACAAGCCTGTGACCAATAGCAGAGACACACAAGAGGTAACAGTCAACAAATCAGAAACCGGAAAAATTCTTTGTTTCTTCGAATCCTCTGGCTAATGCCATTGTGAATCTCACCAGGTGAGGTTACCTCAAGGGAATGAAATTCTGAACATCTTCAAGAACTACACAGCAAAAACCTCCGTATTAGACGACTTTGATTTCTATGAAAGCCGCGAGAAAGTGATGCAACAGAAGAAGCAAAGGTCTTCAGTGCATAACGTCGCTCAAATAAAGGTTTTTTGATTTGTCTCTCCAATCACGCTCACAGTGCATATATCTTCTGTTTCCTTCTGATGAGTATTTGCTCTTTCTATGACAGAAGACAGATGACTTGGTAGCTGGTTTCCGGGCAATGGACATATCGGCAGCCAAAGCCGTTGAATCAGAAGGGGGAAACAGAGACAGATTGAAGGAAGTAGCAAATTGATGGGTTTGAACTAACACGTAATGTCTGGTTTGGTGTTGGGACCAAAGCTTTGGAAGGCATAAATTCTGATTCTGAGACAGGACAAGACGTGTGCCATGGAATATGTATATATGGGTTCCCTTTGTATCTTGTGGTATGGTATGTGTAATTGGGGATTGAGATGTTTGGGTGTGTGTTTCTAATTTGTTCGCCCTTCGTATCACAAGGAAAGCCCACGGTTTGATCAATAGTGAAAGAAAGGATAGATTCTGTGTTCGCTTGAGGTTGAATAATATATGATTTTATCAAAATCAAATTCAATATAAAAGTATAATCAAACCGAAACTAAATAAATATTTGAAAGAACGAAAAATTCTTTTATTATAATTCACCCTCTCTGCTTCTTCGGGTTTGGGGTCCTCAGGTTCTTGTTGCACAGTAGTTTCAGCGTCGCCAGTGGGCATTGCTGAGGCAGTGGCTGCATCCGTTGTTTCTGACGGCGTCGGATCACTTCCGACCACCATTGCTCGACTTATCAGAGTTTTCAGCGGCAGCGGCAACAAGCTCTTCGGCAATGCCTTCACTGTTATTTTCATCAACTAGATGGTCCAGAGTAGCTTCTTCCCCTTCCTCCATTGTCATCTGAGACGTAATGATCCCCACAGGTGACTGCACGGCAGTAACCAGCTCGGGCAGCAGTTCCCCGATTTCTAGACTCCTGATCGTGTTTGATACATCAGCAGCCCCCTGAGATCGGCTAACTGCATCTCCATCAAGTTCCTCGTCTTCTTCTCATCATCCATCTCTGTCGGAAGATCTTGGTTCTCTTGTTCAATGTGATCTTTTGACCCTTCTCCCATAGAGATGGTCTCTGCCTCGGGTGGGTTTTCTTCCACCGGCTCACCACCATCATCAACCTGCAATTCAGCTTCATTTCCTTGCTGAGGTTCACCGGGTTCATCTATTTTTTCCTCACCGGTGTCCTCGGGTTCTATATCATCGCCGTTACCATCATGCTCAGTAGCATCTAAGGACTCGTCCATTGCTGGTTCGTCATGGACAGCAGAAGATTGCCCCTCGGTACTCTCAGACTCTCTAATCCTTTTGACTCCTTTGACGCAGGTGGTGCCATCTCAGAACGGGTTCCCCTGAGCCGTAGTAGAGCCCCCTGAGATCGGCTAACTGCATCTCCATCAAGTTCCTCGTCTTCTTCTCATCATCCATCTCTGTCGGAAGATCTTGGTTCTCTTGTTCAATGTGATCTTTTGACCCTTCTCCCATAGAGATGGTCTCTGCCTCGGGTGGGTTTTCTTCCACCGGCTCACCACCATCATCAACCTGCAATTCAGCTTCATTTCCTTGCTGAGGTTCACCGGGTTCATCTATTTTTTCCTCACCGGTGTCCTCGGGTTCTATATCATCGCCGTTACCATCATGCTCAGTAGCATCTAAGGACTCGTCCATTGCTGGTTCGTCATGGACAGCAGAAGATTGCCCCTCGGTACTCTCAGACTCTCTAATCCTTTTGACTCCTTTGACGCAGGTGGTGCCATCTCAGAACGGGTCCCCCTGAGCCGTAGTAGTCTCTTGACAGCCGTAGTAGTCTCTTGACGCGGCTCAGGGTCTGATTGGTTGTAACGCTGTGGTTACTGTTGCGGTTGATAGCGTTTTCAAAAAGTTTGGTAGCGGTTGTATACGGTTGGTATTGACTGGTTGATAAGTAGTTGTTGGTGGCGATTGCTGTTGGTTGCGATTAGAAGTGAATGATTGTAAAAGTTTGCGGCTGTGTTTTGTTATAAATTACCAAAAAGGACATAATTATAAGATATTTTTTAAAATTAATTATAATTAATTTTTATATTATCATTTGGAAAACAATATTTTTATAATTTATAAAAAATATATAAAAATATTTTAAAATATAAATTTCATCGATTTAATTTATATTTAATTTAAAAATAATTTTATTATAAAAATATTAAAAATAATTATTGATACATTTAAAAATTATATAATCATATGATACTATTAAATTTTTTTAACTCAAATTATAATATCAAAAATTAAATTTAAATTATAATACCAAACAAAATCATCAAGAAAATATATATATCTTACACAAAACTTAATATTAGATAACTAAAATGAAAAACTCTCCTTATTTCCATCAACTTCCCTCTCTCAGCATTCCAAACAGACCAAGCAACGATCCAAGCAGACCAAACAGCAATGTGAGCTTTTGCAGAATCATCAAAGAACTCGTTTGCGATATCCAACTCGCCACATTTGGCGTGAAAGTTAATCAAAAGTTAATCAAAGTATTCATCACGTAGGAATTTGATACAAATCCATATCTCACCACCTATCCATGAATCACAAATCCAGTAGTACTCCACTGAAGCCTCGTACAGGCTTTTAGAATAAAGTGAACGTGAACCTAGTGGCCATTACACCACGTTTCTCCATCTGGGTATAAAGGGAAACCGAATGAACCGCATTGTCCGATTTCAAGCTCTAAGCAGAGCCACGTATCACAGTGTTCCACATGAATATATCTGGTTCCGGGATTTGATCGAACACTTGGAGGGCGTACTAGAGAGCACCGGGAATTACTATGGAAGCGGAGAAAATGCGATCTCTTACCGCCAAAATATTGGACAAAAAGTCATTCACGATCATAGAAGCGTGAATTTGCTTCATAGATTGTTTCTTCACTTCCTAATCGATTGAATGTTGTTGTTACATGGAATGTGATGAACACGTAACAACGACTACGATGTAAGATGTTTCGAAGTCCACCAACCCGAGAAAAATCAATGAAGAGAAACAAAATTCCATAAAAAAAACAAAGAAGATGGAGACATTCATTTGCTCATTTGCTCAGAAAAAATCGATCCCTTTTGTTACAAGGAGGAATCGGAGAAAAGAAAAACAAATCAGAGAAAATAAACCATAGGATTCAGACAGACATATCTGGAAACGACGAAGATAATGATGTCCGATGAGTTTCCGGCGAAGATAAAGCCGTAGTCGAAGAAGAGGATGAGTTACAGAGAGAAATCGTCGCTAAGCGTGAGAGAGAACGGAGAGAATTAGTTTTTTTTTAAATTTTCATTAACGGTATTTTAGTCTTTTGATTGAAACGCTGGAAAACGCTACCGAAACGCACCAAAAAACCTGCGTTTTGATTCTTCAAATTTGATAGCGATTACGTTTATCTGCGGTTTAACCATTCGGTTTTCCAACCGCCACCACCAGCCAGAAATCGCAACCGCTCCGTTTGCGAGTGGTGGCGGCACAACCATCGCCCCTTCAGAAGCCAATGAATCAGCCTGGCGTTTGCGAGTTCAGACACGTTAGCTTGGCTTCCTATTTCGCTGGATGATGGTTGTTTTCCTTCATTGCCAGCTTCTGACATCTCTACATCACCTTGCGGTTCCTTGCGTTTCACAAGTTGGGGACGAACCACCTACTCGGTCTACGAAGCTCAGTGCCTGGTTTAGGCAAGAAAGGCAATATGTGCTCTCTGTTATCCGATGCTTTAGGAGGCTGGTTAGATTCCGTGGGAGCTGTTGAAGGTGTTGTAGGAGAGATCTTCGTGATGGCAGAGGGCTCAGCTGTTCCAGTGAGGTTAAAAATCCCAGAGTGTAAAGCAACATAAGGAGTTACAAAACGATCAGAGGTTAGAGTTGTAGTTACCAGTGGCGGAAGAACCGGGCGAAGGATCTGCTGGTAGGCTTTGATCCCACTTGAAAATCGACGACGACAGAATGAGCTACGCTTTCAAAGCAATTGGCTGTCGACATAAAGGCGGTGGCCTAGTCGTTCAATACGCTTCCGGAGAGAACCTGGACGACACAAGTACCCTACATACAGAATAAAGAATAGAGCGAGCGATGGAAACATAAAAACTCGCGGAGGAATTTGTTGAATTCCTCCATGTGGACAAGAGGTGGAGGTGGAGAAAATGTTCTTCAAAGTTAGGCACCTCCATTTGACATTAAGCCACCATTGTTGAAGCCATCATCTTTGAAGCCACCTTAGTTGAAATTTGCAGCCATTTTTGTTGAAGAAATTAGAGCAAGAACCTCTATAAATAGAGAGGTTTGGGCGTGCAAATACATCACAGCAACAAGAAGGAGAAACACAAGAGAGAAAGAGAGAAAGGGAGAAGGAGAGTGAAAAACAGTTTTGCACGGTTTTGATCAAGTGATCAATCGGATATCGATCTCTTATCCGATCGATCTGAAATTTTGTGGAGAGCTTCTACACTCTTTTTTCTTAATTCTGACCGGTTGGATTTTGATTTCAACGGTTAGAATTAAAGAAACGGAGGTTTTACTAGTATTTGCCTCCATCATTTACACAAGTGCACCGCACAACCAAGGTGCTCTGATACCACTTGTTGGGGATTTTACGTTACTTCGATTGTTTATCACGGATCAGTAACACAAACCCCTTACTTGTGTAAACCTGCGAGGATGACAATATCTAGTGCAATGGTACGAGACAACGATTTTTAACGTGGAAAACCCCCTCGGTGTGAGGAGTAAAAACCACGGGACCGTAGTCCACCCAAAAATCCACTATAACTGGATTACAAAGTTCACACAACAACCTCCCGTATACAAGAAACACACCCCAAGGTTACAGAATATATACATCAATATTCTAACCTCAATATTCCAAGAGAGCACAACTTAACAAGCTGTAACTTAGGTAGCAAGTCAACCCCGTATATTCTGATTCCGGCAACCAATGCAAAATCCCACCGCACAAATCAAAGAACAGAGGGTCTAGAACGAGCATACCAAATTTCACCTCGATCGGAGAAGAATCCACCGTCTGATTTTCAGAGCAATCAGACCTGCCACGGTTTCTTCAATTCTAACCGCTGAAATCAAAATCCAACCGATCAGAATAAAAAACAAAGAGTATAGAAGGTCTCCACAAAATTTCAGATCGATCGGATAAGAGATCGATATTCGATTGATTGTTTGATCAAAACCACTCAAAACTGTTTTTCACTCTCATTTCCCTTTCTTTCCCTTTCTCTCTTATGTTTCCTTATTGTTGTTGTGATCCATCTGCACCTCCAAACCTCTAATAGAGATTATAGCACCAATTTCTTCAACAAAAATGATTTGGAAAACAATTTCTCCACCTCTACATCTTGTCCACATGGGAGGAATTCATCAGGAACAAATCTGCTCAACCGTGATGGATGCCGCATCTGCATTGGCACAGACGCTCTCGAGCTCGGCGTACACCTTCCGTATAAACTTGTCGGCCTTTCAGCCACCACCGACGCAGCATCGCTCGACAGCCGCGCCAGTTCGTCTCCGGGCATGAAAAGGGGAATTTCGAAACCCCTAATTCACGAGATGCGATGCGAAGGCAGAGATTTGAGTTTCTTCCGAGAAAATTCAGAGAGGGATTCGAAATTTTAACCCCGACGAGTTTCTAAATGAGAAGACAAAATGACTAACATATCATAAGGAGATGCAAACACGTCACATTATTTTATTTAGTTTTTTTTACAATGGAAAAAAGTTCATATATTTATTGGATCACTAATAAAATTCAGTGTCTTTTTTATAATCGCAGAAAAATTTATGTATTTTTTAGATCATTTAAAAAGTTGAGTGTTTTTTTAGATTCGTTTAAAAATTTTAATATTTATTTGACAAAAAATAAATTTTTTCTGTCAAAATTAAAATTTTCAATTTTTTTTTTGAGATTTTTTCTTAAAAAAAGGTAAATAGTCGAACAATATTTTGGCAGTTAAAAAACCAAAACAGCCACTAGTATTCTTAATCAAATGAATGATGAATCACCAGTCACGTTAGCCACCATTGTCTTCCCCACTTAACAGAGAGCACTCATAAGCAAAAGCACAAAACTTTCGAGGTATCATCAATGGCGAAAAAGAAGGCGGCTTTGATTGGGATTAACTACCCAGGAACCGAGGTCGAGCTACGAGGTTGCGTCAATGATGTCTGGAGGATGCACAAATGCCTCGTCGACCAGTACGGATTCGCCGAGGAAGACATCACCGTGTTGATCGACACCGACGACTCCTACACTAAACCCACCGGGAAGAACATCCGCAGAGCGTTGTCGGATCTCGTCGGAGCGGCGAAGCCAGGCGACATTCTCGTGGTTCATTACAGTGGGCATGGTACGAGGGTGCCGGCGGAGACCGGGGAAGATGACGATACTGGGTACGATGAGTGTATTGTTCCTTGCGACATGAATCTTATATACGGTAAGTGAAAATTGACTCGGAGATTGAGTTTTTCTTCTTCTTCGTCTTGCTGAAAATTTGAATTAACTTTTGTGCGCGTCTATGTAACTGATGGGCAAATCATCATGTTGAGAAGTGTGGATTTGGGAAAAGATTTCCGGTGAATTCTGGGTTTGGAGTATTTATCAGTCAATGTTCATCTTCTTACCACTAGGCGTTCTGTCTGATCGTTGATTTGGAGGAACAGCGATCATTCTCTCAATGGAACAATGTTTCCCAGTGGAATTTTTATCAGAACAGGAAATTGAGTCAAGAAGATTTTGATTTTCTTATTGTCTTGATTGCTTGAACTTCTGGGAACCCTTTTCATAGGAATGATTGAAAGCTTGATAGCTGTTCAAGATCCATGTTAAGCTAATTCTGTATCCAGATGATGATTTCAGGGATCTTGTGGAGAAGGTCCCGGATAGTTGCCGAATGACCATCATCTCAGACTCTTGTCACAGCGGTGGACTCATCGATTCAGCCAAGGAGCAGATAGGGGAGAGCACGAAGAAGCTGAAGCAAAGTTCCGGAGACCCTTTAGGGTTGGATCTCGGAAACTGCTTGCGTAATGTTGTTGAGAATATGCTCATGTCTTGCGGGATTCACGTTCTTTGGCGTAAGGAGGAAGAGGAAGAGGAAGTGCCAGAAACCGAGACTAGGGAGATGGAACTAGAAGAAGATGGAGGAGAAAGAGTCAATGGTAAAGCAAAGTCTCTGCCTTTGGAGGCCCTGATCAACATTCTCAAACAGCAAACGGGCAAAGATGATATCGAAGTTGGGAAAGTGAGACCGACCCTTTTCGACATGTTTGGCGAGGAATCAAGCCCAAAGGTGAAGAAGTTCATGAAAGTGATTCTGAGCAAGCTGCAGCAGAAAAACAGCCATGGTGAGGGTAGCAAGTTACAGGGAATGATAGGGAAATTAGCTCATGAATATCTGGAACAGAAGCTTAACGAAGAAAACTACATGAAACCCGCGATTCAGACAGAAGTAAAGAACAAGAAAGAGGTTTACGCCGGGAAAACCAACATTAAATATCCCGAGAATGGGATTCTGATCAGCGGATGCCAGACTAATCAAACTTCTGGAGATGCAAATCCACTAGGGAAACCCGAAGAAGCCTATGGAGCGTTCAGTAACGCAATCCAGATCGTAATAGCAGAGAGGAAAGGCAGAATCACGAACAAGGAACTCGTCTTGAGGGTTAGACAGATTCTCAAGAAACAAGGTTTCACTCAACGACCAGGCTTATACTGTCATGACCGTTGCGTAAACGAGCCCTTTATATGTTGAGAAGTAGCAGAGTTAGCCACATTTTGTGGTATTTGATAAGGGCTGTCTTCGGGAGCTTGTGTTAAACCAACATAAACCATTATTTTTTTTTTCTCTTTTGTATGGTTTTAGATGTGTATGTGAATGTAATGTGCTCTTTGTTCGTGGTTTTAGTATCTATGGTCTACGATTTATGAACAAAACATTTTGACAAAATGTCACAACTAAGTTTTAAAACCGAACTCAAGTGTGGATGGTAAGATGTTAAGGTGAGAAGGAACAAAGTGTCTTCACCCGAATCCGAATCCACGTTGGACCAGAAACCGGCTCTTTTGCGGTTTATGCATTGTGTTTGTTTGTGTGTATGGAAACTGAAACAGACATCTTTTTTGTGTGTTGACGAAGCTTAAGATTTGGATGAAGAGAGAAGGAAGGTGTCCTTTTATTTTGTTTTTTTTTTCCTTCATTGTTTATTGTTATTGCATATCATTTTTTTTTAAATAAATCGAGTCGATTGGTAATATCTTTAGAGCATTTTAGATATGTCTTTACATATGACGAAGTGAAGCTGCTCTCGTTCTGTACTGTCCGTTTATTACAGCAAACTCGTAACACCAAAAAGTGTTCATTAGATTGTGAACCATGTATAATATTATTATGTTCTTTGTGTATATTACTTGTGCATTTATATGGAATCAACGATCAATTTAAAAGCTCATTACAACAATGTTAGGTTGGCCCTTTCGGTTTTGCCCCAAACCCAAATGCCCAAAGGGAATATGATATGACGAAAGCTGAATATACACACCCCTCTCCTAATTTAGAACATTGCAAAAGAATTATCAAAGAGCTCGAAACTTACTTTTGTCGTGGAGCTTAGGGGGAGTCTGTCTTCCTCTGTATTTGGTTTTGTCATTACTCGTACATATATATGTACACACATGTGTGTGTTGTCTCACTCGTCAGTATCTTGTACCCATGCTAAATCTGCAACACAATATAATCTTATTATGATGCGACCACAACTACAGGAGAAATCATATATAATATATATATGTGTGTATGTATATAGAGTGAGAGAGAGAGAGAGAGAACCCTCTAAGAAAGACTCAACAGCGGCATTAGGGACAAAAAGCCCAACAATCCGCTGGTTATCTGTGGTAGTCTCTATTCGAACAACTCGGAACCTCTTATGGCTTTGACGGGCCTGCACCGACCACACAACTTCCATTCATTTTGTCGTTTTCCTTCCGGATTATGACACTTTCTTCCTCAAAACACCCTCTTTTATATATACACAAAGAAAAGCTTACTTGTCTGGAAAGTGCTTTCTCGATAGTTCCCCGGACGGGAAGAATGAGGCCGCCTAAGACGTTCACTACTTGTATTTGTTAGATATGTGATTCAAGAGCAGTTTCAATCGGTTATTTGGAAGTTTTTAATTCTGCAGTTAAAGTTGGGAAGTTTCTATCGGTTACTAAATTCTCTCTATAAATATGTGTATTGATAGTTTTTAGAAATCATTGCAGAAGTTGGGTTTTCTGTAATCCTATTCATCGAGTAGATGTGTGCGTATATGTTGTAATAAATATTTTGTTATGAGAGTCAATTACATTTCGTGTCTTATATGTATATGTACATTATGTTGCAGAAAAATTACAGAGAGTTCCAGTTTGTTTGTTATTGTTCTCTTTGTCTTTTATGTGTGAGTATTTGAAAAGAGTGAGGTGTTAGGCTTACTCTTTGAGAGGAATTCACAATAATTAACAATGGTATCAGAGCATTTAATGGTCTTTTTGAGATCTGTGGGAGTATGGATCGGAAAAAACGATTCAATTTTCGGGTTATGATTTAGGTTTTTGTTTTTGGGTTTGAAAGAAATGAGAGTCGTTACAACGAAAACGTTTCCGATAGGGGCCGAAGAAGAAGATAGAAGTTGTTTATTGAAGAGCTCTTGAATCAAGGAGGAGTGTTAGATATGTGATTCAAGAGCAGTTTCAATCGGTTATTCAGAAGTTTTTAATTCTGCAGTTAAAGTTGGGAAGTTTCTATCGGTTACTAAATTATCTCTATAAATATGTGTATTGATAGTTTTTAGAAATCATTGCAGAAGTTGGGTTTTCTGTAATCCTACTCATCGAGTAGATGTGTGCTATATGTTGTAATAAATATTTTGTTATGAGAGTCAGTTACATTTCGTGTCTTATATGTATATGTACATTATGTTGCAGAAAAATTACAGAGAGTTCCAGTTTGTTTGTTATTGTTCTCTTTGTCTTTTATGTGTGAGTATTTTTGTGTATTCAAAGGAAAGAGTGAGGTGTTAGGCTTACTCTTTGAGAGGAATTCACAATAATTAACAGTGGTATCAGAGCATTTGAGATCTTTCGGGATCTGTGTGGTGTGCAAGATGCGATTTCTGTGACAGTTTTGTTCATGGTGGTTAAGGGCTTATCGTGAATCAAAACTTCGGGAGAGAGAGCAACGAGGACGTGGAGGAGTTTCAGACCGTGTCCGATAGGCCTCAAAGTGTGGTGCAGATTTTCTAGAAGAGTTTGAAGAAAATCCATGTTGCCACCTGTAGCAGTGCATGATGGTGGAGAGCATGATGGACAAATGGTTTGAGATTGAGAAACCAGTTATGTGACGTGAAGAAAAAGATGTTGTAAGTTTGGTTTTGATAAAATGTTTTTCAATACAGTCAAATACGTTGGTTTTGTTGGAAGAAAAAAACGAAGATGAACCGAAGGAGAGTCGTGATGATGAAGACGGCGATTCCGGTGGCATCGAAGATTATTGTGATTTTTGACGGGTTTATGTCGTGAATCCGGAAGTTGCGGATCCGAGAAGGGGCAAATATGCACTCGGAAAAGCATTTGAGATCTCGAGATGAGGCAGTTTTGCACTCGAGAGAAAATTTGGATTGTTACGAGAACAGAAAATTTGCACCAAAGTTTGAAGGAAAGCCGAAGTGTAACGTTGATGAACTCTTGAGTCAGGGAGGAGTGTTGGTGATTGACTCAAGAAGTTACAAATGAGTTTTGGGAAGTTATTAAAGGGAAGTTACCAAAGGAGTTTAAATCAGTTTTTTGTAGGTTACAAAGTTGTCTTTAAACACATGAAATGATAGTTGTAGAAGTTTATTGCAGACTTTGTGTTTTGTCTGTAATCATATGTGAGTGTCTTTCTTTTGTGTTCAAAGTGGAGAGATAAGGAATCTCTCCAAGAGGAACAATGAGATAAAGATCACCCGTATATGTGTGTGTAAAAGTGTATGTTGTGTAATGTTTGTGTTGTAATAAAAGGAAGGTTTTTTATGAGAGTTTTTCGATTTCTAAAGAACTAACAGTATTCTTCGACCAACCGTGCAAAACTCCCCAGCTTACACTTCGGTCCATGCATGCACTGTTTCACCCACCATTACGAAGGAAGGAAGGAAAAAATAAAAGCCACACATAGTAAGTTGATATTTCTCCGAACAAGCTTTATATCGAACTTTGTTGACAGTTAAAGAGCTACGACCTTGGCTCAACAAACACGGGCCAAGATAGATAATGAATCTGGGCATTCATCGTATCTATTTGATTCATAACAAACCTAAAATGACAACTAGGGGTGGGCCCGGGCTCAGTTTCCGACATTTTCGGGTCATTCGGCCTCGGTCTCGCCCTCTGTATCATGGTGGTCTACCGTGAGTCTCGGCGAGGTCGAGAGGGGTCTACTGTCAAGTAGAGAGGACCGGCAGAGGCCAAAGACTTGAGGAGAGAGAGTCATCGAGGGGAAGGGGTCAAGGGAGTTGTACATGGTCGTGGTGAGAGGGTCAGCGAGACGAAGCGCAAACTTATAACTAATTTGATCTCGGCCAGCGTAACAGATAGAACAAACATTATGTTTATACAGGCATAACAAAGATATTTGTATCAAGGATTGTAGATATGGTATATATATACAATTCTACATAACTTACAATGCTTTCCTCCTCCCACGTTGCCAATTCTCCAAAATCAACCCAGCAATTGTTCTCCCTTTCCCCACATCAGCACCATCTCCAACAAAGAATCCCGCTCTGTAATAGAAAACAACATTGTCGCATCGGCAAAGGACAAGATCAAAGGTCATTAACAAAGTTTCTGGCACTAAAAGCAACCTGACAACCATAAACTAATGTCTCAATCTGCAAACACGACAGAGCCTTTGACCTTTCAAGCTCTTCCTTTATTTTGAGATTATAAGTAGGTTCTGGAGGCTGCACTGCAGATAAGGATGATGTTTCCACAATGGGATCTGGATGAGGAGGTGATAAGCCCTACTATCGTGTATATGTGAGGAAGAGCAAGGTGAGAGAAGAAGACGGATTGGAAGTAATTGAGGCTTAGAAGCAGACAACAACAAGGGAGCTAGGGGGAAGAGACTGTCGGGAGCAGAGGATCATAGTCGGCAGATTAATTATTACCTAGTATTTCTGTTTTGCCTTTTACATGGATGTGTTCGTGGTTCTGCAAATTTGTTATTAGTAACTGCCATGTCAGCATCTTTGTCGCTGATCTTGGCCCTTAAGTATTAGCATTTTGGGATTTTGAGAGTTCATGCTTTTGGATTTGAGAACTTTTGTAAGTGGAGAAGAGGGAGAGTAACCTCTGTTCTTTGTTGTAATTACTGTTTTGGTGAATACAACTTTGAGTTTATCTTTTACAAACTTATCATTTTGGTATCAGAGCACCTCGATCCTACCATGCCCCCAAAAGTTGATGATCGCTGGATGGAACATTTGGAGGAGCTGCTACATGTTGGAGTTAATCATGTTCCTCGTGGGGTTTTTTTTTTTACTTGGTCATTTGTAATTTTTTATTTCAAATTTGAATAAGTCCTAGAATATCTAGAGTTAAGTATGATCTTCCATATTTTTTGTTTTGGTTTATTTATTATTATTTATTATAAATAAGAATTATGAGTTCAAGAGATAAGAGTATCAGTTGAAAAAATCTCTCTTCTCTCTCCTATTACTAAATCCTCTCACCAACTATTCTCCTTTTTTTTCCATTAGTTTTATTTTTTCAAAATGAAAAACCAGAAAAATAAATGCATGAACTCGTGTTGATTAATTTCTAACAGTGGTATCAGAGCCAAGGTTGTTGTTTTTCCTTTCATAGTGTCGAAATCTATGTCAATGGAAGAGTTGTCGGGGAGTGTCGATCGAAGTGGTAAGGGTATTCAAAATGAAGGTGTTGAGACAACGAAGATAAAGGAAAGAAGCGTGTCTCTTCAATACCCACTCCTGACAAAGACAAATTACATGGTATGAGCTATGAAAATGAAAATTTATATGCAGGCACAAGGTGTTTGGGATGCGATCGAGTTAGAGGGATCTGTCGATAAGAGCAAACATAAGATGGCTCGTGTAGCAATATGTCAGGGCATAAGTGAGGAGACCCTGTTACAGATAGGAGTAAAAAGAACGACAAAAGAAACATGGGATGCCTTAAAGATGTTAAATCATGGTGCGGATAAAGTAAAGGAGGTCAAAGCATGTCGCTATGATGAGAGCTTGAAGGACTCAAAATGGAAGAGAGCGAGTCAGTAGATGAATTCACCGGAAGAGTATCGACGATCGTGAACAAATTAAAAGCTTTGGGAGAAAGCGTCAACGAAGGGTACAGTTTTTACGAAATACATCCAATTGGCATCAACTATTGAGGAGTTTGGAGATTTGACGACTAAGTCTATCGAGGAAATTACCGGATCACTTAAGGTGCATGAGGAATGGTTAAGGGGTCGTGAATCGAGAGTTGATGAACATGTTCTCCTCGCTCAGGGTGACTGGCGAAGAGGTCGTGGTAGAGGTCGTTCGTTTGGACGAGGTCGTGGTCGAGGAGGTGAGAAATCAAGGTTTGATATAAACAAGATCATGTGCTATGCGTGTCATAAATATGGTCATTTCGCCTCTGATTGCAAAACAAGAGAAGAGAGAGATGACAAAACTCATCTGGCCGAAGAGGTTGAAGAGGAGGCCATTTTGCTGTAGGTGAAGACAGATGAACAATATTAAGGAGGAGATTGTTGAAGTTAATCATGTTCCTCGTGGTATTTTTTTTATTTGGTCATTTGTGATTTTTTATTTCAAATTTGAATAAGTCCTAGAATATCTAGAGTGAAGTATGATCTTCCATATTTTTTTGTTTTGGTTTGTTTATTATTATTTATTATAAATAAGAATTATGGACTCAAGAGATAAGAGTATCAGTTGAAAAAATATCTCTTCTCTCTCCTACTACTAAATCTTCTCGCCAACTATTCTTCTTTTTTTTCTATTAGTTTTATTTTTCCAAAATAAAAAACCAGAAAAATAAATGTATGAACTCACTACATTCCAAAACGGGAAAGTTCGAAGCTGCTATGGGAGAAATGAAAGGTCATGTTTTCTCAAAAGATGGGAACGTTCGAAGCTGCCATGAGAGAAGTGCAAGGTCAGATTTCACAGATCCAACAGACGTCGGAGAAACTATTTGTGATGATGGAGCACCGACACTCACATGAGAAACCACCTTCTGTGCCTCTGCTTCCGGACGAACATTCTTCATGTTCCCAGCAAACCATTGATCCCAAGGGTAAATAACCGGTGGATGACATCGACTCGCCGCCACTGGCACCGTTTCTGCCTGGAGAAGACCACACACCACCATCGGCGATGGCCGAGGTACAACCATCATCGTTTATTGCTGGTAATGATCTCAACCTTAAGAAAATAGACATGCCTGTTTTCGAAGGGGTTAACGTCGCAGGATGGTTAGTTCGGGCGGAGAGGTACTTTCAGTTTGGGTGTATTTCGGATCGGGATAAACTCAACCTCGCTTCACTTAGTGTCGACGGTGAGACTCTTTTGTGGTTTGACGGAGAGAAAGACCGACATCCCTTTCTGGACCCTAAGTTCCAGTTGGGAAGTGTGGTCGAAGGATCACGTGCAATGTCACGTGACCCACCCTGGGTGCGGTTTCATTTACTTGAATAGGAACATATGAACTTTTTTAGGAAGATACTAATTTCGGTTTCGGACAACAATTTTTGCCAAATCCAAATTGTACACCTAGAGATTCGCTATTTAGTTTTATAAAAATTATACTTATTCCTTTTAATACTCCACATTCGCATGACTTTTGCTGAAAGTATTTATATCTGAATTGATTTTAGAAAATTTCGCATCTTTTAAATGGAAGTCCATCTTTGGATTACAATTAAGAAATATTATTTTGAAATTATTAAATCAATAGGTGAATAAAAGGACTTTGGGCCTTACATATTTTAGATTTATGGACCAACTCTAATCACAGGCTCGGCTTTTATGTAAACTTCCAAGGCATGCAAAAACGGGGCGGACTAATGGACAGCCTTTCTCATGACAAATTACTCTTTAAGGGGTCAATTAATTCCTATTTTGGGTTTTAGTTATCATATATTGATAATTTTTTTTTTGTAATATGTTAAATTAATTTGTAAATAATAAACCGTATAAATTCATATATAACAAACGGGATCTAAAATTTATTAGAAATAATAATTACACGATATTATTTTAGTGGAATTAGAATAATTTAGAAAATTAGTATTAGTTTTATATAAATCAATTGAAAACATTAAAATATTTATTTTCCAGAAAAAAAAAAGTAATATAGCAAGAAAAGTCTGTTCTTTTCCAACACAGCCTCTCTCCAGCTTCTTGTCCTTCTCCTGTTTCAATCAACCTTTTCGATTCATCATTTTTTTATTCTCCGCGTCACGTATCCGTAGTTCACTTTTTTTTGCTCTGAAATCATCACAGCGCGATCACACACATTTTACCCTTAAAAAGGAAACAAGTTTTAGAAAATTATATATATATATATATATATAACTATATTTGAACAGGCAAAAATCCATCAAGTATATAAAGACCATTAATAGTAAAAAAGAAAAGATAAGAATATCGAACAACATTCATATATATATGTAACACGTATTAATTTGGTAACCGGTGGTTACACTAGCGAGCACGGTCCTTATTACACGACAACAGTACAAAACGACAAAAAAAAACACACGGTATCAGCGAAAATCTATAGGAAACACGACCTTTCAATAACAAAGAAAGATACTTGGACGAGCTGCATATTGCATGGCATCGATCACGTACGCACAAGCGTGCGTACGTAAACGTTTATACGTGGGTATATATAACGTTTTATACGCAAACGTACGTTCTCCGATTTCACTCCCTTGGCTCTGGGTAAAGATGTGGGGCCAACCGGAGCTCGGCCGCCGCCATGAGGGGCTTGGCCATGAGATTGTTTTCCGGCGACATTTCGAGCTCGATCTTTTCCGTACCGGGAGGGAGGTTCCATGTGAAGGCTTGGAGGAGCCTAGCCAACAGCATTATGGTCATGTTTGTGCCCAGCTTGCTCGCGATGCAGCCACGTCGTCCGGTACTAAAGGTCACGAACCTCATGTCCGTCTCGGTCAGTTGTACCTCTGGTCCGCACTCTGTCCCACCCATGTGCCGTTCCGGCCTGAACTCGTCTGGATTCTCCCATACATTCGGGTTCCGGCCCAGTCCCATACGGCTCACATGAATAGTACTCCCTGTATATACATATACAACAGAACCCGTTAGATTTTAAAGAAATTTACGTTGTTGAATCCGTTTTTACTGCGTACCCTTTTTCACTTCTCACTAAATTTCGAGTTTAAAGCATCCATATAGGCGTGACAAATTTCACATATATACATATATATCATAGAAACGGTTAGATAAGGAATTTATATTGTTTGTACTACGTACCCTTTGGGATGAAGTAACCACCGAGGGTGGTATCTCGCGTTGCTCGGCGAGCCACGACATTGGGGACGATAGGGTGCAGCCTGTATCCTTCCCTGCTGCAGGACTTTATATAGTTGAGGCTCGGGATATCGGATTCTTGGACGAGCCTTTCTCGTCCCACCACCCGATCCAGCTCCTCCGCCGCCTTCTTGAACGTTTCCGGGCAATTCAACATTTCCGCGATTGTCCATTCGATGTTGTTCGCGGGATTGTCAACCGCCGCAAAAAACAGCTCCTGAGAAGAAGAAAAAACAGATCAAATGCATGAAAACGTCAGTCCTTGAATCGCAAACGCATGCATGTACACGTGTGCGTGCGTTGCATGTTAATTATACTAACCCTAACGATGGCTCTGAGCTCTGGAGGAGACAACAACCAGGACCCATCGGTATCCTTGACGGTGACAAGAATGTCAAGCCAGTCTCCAATCTCTTTTTTCAATCCTTTCTTCCTCCAGAACTCGATCCTCTCGTCTATGATTGGTTGATTGTATTCTCCGACGATATCGCAAGCCTTTTTCACGATCTTCTCTTGACCGTCCAGGTCCCAGCCCCGAAGCCATGGGACGTAATCCGAGATGCAGAAGCTGTAAACGTAGTCCAAAGCCGTGAAGATGTTGGAAACATGGATCTTCTCGATCGGACCGAGCCCACCATCACCTGAAGATTCCTTGAAATACTTCCTCCCAAAGATCATCCTCATCGGGGCACCATGGCAGTAGCTCCTCACAACATCTCTCACGTTCACAATCGGCGATTTCTGACGTAGGTTCTTGACATAAGCGACCAGGTCGTCTGCTTCCATTACCCTTCGCTCATGTAACCAGTCAAGCCTCTCGTTCGATATTAGCTCTTGGACCATGACCCTTCTCACCTTCTTCACTTGTTCGCCTGATGGGTTAAAGATAGCAGAGAGATAACCTCCGGTCAAGGCACTAGCCGAGAAGGCCTCAGGCCTGTCCGCAAAGATATTGTCCTTCTCCTTCATCACCTCTCTAGCGATCTTGTCGCATGTTATCTCGATGGCGTAAGTGTTTCCGAAGCGAAAGCTCGCAATGTCGGTGTTGAGTTCCTTCATGACTCGGTGCATCCACCGGGCGGTGGGGCGGTTCATGAGCAGGTGGGGGAGGTTTCCGACGATGGGCCAAGCTTGCGGTCCCGGTGGAAGCTGTGGACCACTGGTACGGCCTTTGGTTTTCTTGGAATTCGACGAGGTTGTGATGAAATATGCAATCGCAGCTATGGAAAGGATTAAGATTTGGACCGTGAAAACACTTGGGAACATCGTCAGGTGACCGAGTAACTCGGTGTTCGTGGTGATGTTCATGTTTTTTCAGCGTTTGCTAAAACACGACCAAAGAAAAAAAAAATAGCTGCTTTTGTCTGTCGAAGGAACCGCTAGAACATGGAAGTGAAGGTGTTTATGTTTTGGGTGCGGTATAAGCGTTAGCTTGGGTCTGTATTTATAGCATCAAAAACTCCCGGTTCGGTTCGGTTCAGTAGTTTTTAAACCGGATTCGCATACCGGACCTGTTATCCAGAAAAAGCAAGTGGTCGGTTATCGGGTGGGCTCCACACGATGTATGTACTTAGGGCTGCATGTAGAATATATTAATCAGCCAATGAGTCAATTTTGAGGGTAAATACATTCACCGTATTTTGGTTTCCGTTATAAGTTGTGATAGAGTTAAACGTCCGTTAAGTTAACACGGCAGTGACTGTTTCATATGTATTGCATAGTAATTTTTGGACGCAGGAGGCCGTTTTGGACGTGTGTATATAAATGAAATTATCATTCTTTATTTAACAATGTCGGAACTTGGCCATATAACCGCACTCACATACATTATATATATATATATATATATACATATATGATTTCGTGTCATAGATCGAGTTAACTTCGGCAAATATATGTACACGTCACGTTAAGGACTAAACAAAAAGATGATGGGTAGAATTAATTAAGCACCAAATAATTATACATATATTATATATACATAGATCTACTGCAATTGGAAATGAAAACTAATTTTAGTTTATATATATAGGCATAGACATATTTTACTTCGAATGCCTGTAGTTTCCATTTGCATTGAAAATAGGGTTTGTGCATGAAAAAAAGTATTTCACGTGACCAAAAACCTTTGGGTAAAGGTACGACATATTTTCTTACATTCCAAAAAAGAAAATCACAAAAAATAAAGGCAAAATTTAAATAGTTACGAAAACTATAATTAGATGGTGTTCTCCGCTTTTTTTTTTCCCCACGTGGATATTATCCTTTTGGTCAGCTTCGATAAAGACAAAGTAGATGAATCGACAATCGGGCATTGGCTATAAAGTTTTCTCTCTCCTATATGCACCTTGTATAAATTATACACACACAAATATAGGTTATAACCATACAATACATACACACATGGAAATTAACTAAATTAAAAAACTGTAATATACCATTATGGACTAAAAATATATGGAAATCCCTAGAAAATATCTGTTTTAATTAGAGTTTATTTCATCGATTCGAAAGTTATGTTTTGTGGAAATTTACTGAAATATGTCAAAAATTTAAAAAGTTTTACAACTTATTTTTTTCCATCTTTCTAATACATAATTCTTTACCATAAATTATGCAAAATAACCTAATTAGTATGCATGCATCTATACATGTAAAATTTTTATATTTATATTTCCTTTATTTTTTATTATTCTTTTAGAATTTTAAAATTTTAAAAAAATATGACATGTATTGTTTAATTACGTGACAATTGATGTGGTAATTTCTAAAAGGAGGTAAAAAATTATCAAATAAGATTTATTTGAATTTTATTTAACAATTATCAAATAAGATTTATTTGAATTTTTATTTAACAAATACTAAAAAAGAATTTTTAAAATGATTTGTTTCAAAACTTAAAAATTTGGCTAAATAATTTTTTAATATTACATCCAAGTTTATATATAAAATCACATTAGATTTATTAGATTAATTTTGTAAGATCACAATTTATAAATAGAAGTAACTTCTGTAATTTTTTGAAAATTTTGTTTTTCATTTGTTAAAAGAAATTATTATTTTTATTTGATAGTGGAAGTAATATTTACTAAATTTTGCATTTTAAAATTTAAAATATTGAAATGATATTTATTAAATTAAACAAAATATTTGAAATAATATTCGTTATTTTGTACATATTTTCTATTAAAATATAAAATAAGGATATCAAGTTTATCAAGTCAAACTTTTTATATCAAACATTTTTTTTTCAAAAGTTAAAAAAACATTGACTTATCAAATAAGATTTATTAAATTTTAATTTTAAATTATTAAAATATTGAAATGATATCAAAGAATTTTTTCAAATAACATTTATTTTAACATTTTAGAAAAAGTTATTTAATATTTATTTTTAAAATATAAGGTGAGATTTATGATATCAAATTTGTAAATGAAATTTATGAGGTAATATTTTTTTTATATGAAGTTAGGTTTTTTATTTTAAAATTCATTTTCCATTTTTCCCAAAAAGTTAAAAAAAAAATCGTGATAGATTTCAAGTAAAATTCAATCAAAGTTTTATTTTAAAATATTTATACTGATTTTTATTGATATTAAAAAATAATAATTTTTAGTTAAAAAAATTGTCTTCACATCTTTTTAAATACCAGATTAGATTTTTTCATGTCAAATAAAGTTAAATTTATTTAATCAATTTTATAATGTTAAACTTTTTATATCAAGTTTGGCCTCTTTATTTTTGTTTTCAAAAACTTATTTTTAATTGTTTTTTATGGTTGTACAATAAATTTATTTCTAAAACAACAAAAAAACAATCACATAACCAAACATAAAGTTTAAAATAAACTCTATAAACTATTACTCGAAAATTTCGACCTTATTGATTTTGTAAAATATTGGTTGTAAGATTTCGACGTCCTTGGTTTCTAACTATGGTGGAGATAAAAACTGAAGAGAAGTTGACGAAGGGAGAAAATAATGGCAAGAAAAAGTTGTTAAAAATGAGATGAAAAAAAAGGAATTAACTAAATATTTTTAGTGTATTATTGTTATTTACAACAAAAAAAAAAAAGATAATATAGATGGCAAAGATATAATTATTTTGGCATACTTTATTAACTGATTATTTTTGGGACATTTTATAAAGAACCCCTTATATCTTTATCGTGTCTGACTAATCCTATTTTTAGAATATATTCCATGTTTTCTAAATCCTACATTTGTAAATTCGTTCGATATACGAAATCTAGAGTTGTAAAGTTTACTCTTGTTATTATAGGAATACATATTAAAATTTTATTTGAATGGATTTTATTTAGTAGTTTTCAAAGAATATTTAGGATTCCCATTCGTTTTAATTTTGGGTTTCAAATTTTCGATTCTAAAAAAAGTATATCTATTTTTTTTACAAAGTTATTTTTTGATTTAGATGCGATTTTCATTGAAAGTAATCGTTTTCTAAATAGTTTGCATTCATTTTTTGCTATTTAATTTCGACTCAGTTTCTATTTGATTAAAATTTTTTTATATTAAATTGGTTAAAAAATAAAATTCAATTTTTGAATACAATTATATAAATTCAATTTAAATACTATCGAATCTAAATACCAAAAATTAAGTTTTTTCCGCATGTGATGAATATATATGCGCAGAATCATAAAGTGGTTGATAGAAAACTTCTTCCAAATGCAGATGTCAAACATTAAGCTTTTCACCCACAGTAATGCAGATATATATATATATATATATATATATGTATTCCTTTTCAATTATGGAATTTTTTTGGAAAAATCATACAGTTACATAAAAAAGAATAATAGATACATTTAAAAAAAAAAATCGGTGTAGAGACAAAACCCGAAAATAAAAGAGATTAAGGCCTTTGGGTAGGTGGCCACGTTGTTAACGAAAATGGAGCACGCCCTCACCAGAACCTCAACCCCAACCTCCAGACGTCTCAGTAAATCATTAATAAATTCTGATTTGACACAGTTTCTGTGTTATATCATCATTTGTAGACCGTATAACCAGCCGGTCCATCCATCCACGTGCATCGTTTTTCTTTTTATTCAAACCAAGTTCCTCGATCGAACGATTGAGAGTTTGATATTTGAAAACATATATTATACAAGTTTCACAGCAAATATCACGATTATTCTCGATCGTATATATTATGATTTTATTAGGTCGTGAATTAACATAATTGTTCTCATAATAATCGATCGAGGAGATTTGTGTACATTTTGCATGTGGATTGGATGGATGGACATGCATATTATGAATGTAGGTAGATTCCAATAAATTATATATGAAAAATATATTTTACGTATTGGATCTAGGGTTAGATATGAATCAGTATTTCAAAATTCCAAGCACCTAAATTGAATTTAGGTTTTAGGGTTCAAAAACTGATTTTAAACTCTCTCACACACACACAACATATATATATATATATATATATATATGCCCATCTCTGATCGGACCAATGGCATCTCTAGCGTTTTTCATCGTTTTTTTTCTCGTTTCTCCTAAGTTGGTCCACATATCTAAATTTAAATTACGCAGCCCAATTTGTTACGGCCACCCATCATGAGTTAGGCTTCAGAAATCCGATCGATATATTGAATTAGATTCACTTTGAACTTAAGCCCAAATAGTTCCCAACATCTGCATTATACATATGTATACATACATATGAATGTGTGTATAGCCAAACCGACAAGAGGGTGGCACACACTTTTATTAATTGCTTCGGACACAAGCAACAGGAGGGCAGAGCGCCTAGCTCATCAGTTCTTAAATGTGGGATACATATGTGGAGCTAGCCGTGGCTTAACGGACGCGACCAGGGGCCGAGACATGAACAAGTTGGTCTCCGAGCCAACGAGCTCGACCCGACCGCCTGGAGGAAAGATGTTCCAACTGAAGCCTTGGAGAAGCCTCGCCAAAGACATGACGGTCATGTATGTCCCAAGCATGTCGGCTACGCAAGCTCGACGTCCCGTGCTGAACGACACGAACTCATCTCTCGCTCGTGAAGGCTCACCTCCTGCGAGACCCCGAGGTGGCGCTCCGGCTTGAACACGATGAGGCTCGTCCCATATCTTGGGGTTTCTGCCCAATCCCACCCGGCTCACTAGAATGTGACTACCTGTTAGATTATATCGTATTATTAGTATTGTTTTTGTTTTGTCAAGAATTGTTGAATATTTTTAAATAGAACAGTAAACATAGTCGAATACGAAAAAAAATATAAATATTATCTATAAGAGATGATCATATTCAATATTAAATGAGGTTCGAAAATATACTTTTTGAGTAAAAGTATTCATTCAAGCATGTAAAATCGCCAAAATGCGAATCGAATCCAATACTTTTGATATGTGAATAAGCACCGAGAATATAACCATTAAGTCAAACCTGCAGTTTAAGATAATGTTGTATACATAGACGGATCTAGGTCACTGTTATTGAGATCATGTGTTCCAGGCAGTGGCAGATCTGGAAAAATGTTTAATAAGGAGCAAACATAATTTTTTTTATTGTAATATGAGGGCATTTCAAATTTTATTTACAAGTTTATAAAGATTTATAAAGAAAATTAAATCTTTTAATTAAACTAATGGGGGCAAATGACCCCCCATTATCATTAACGTAAGTCCGCACCTGCACCTGGTTCCAGATGCTACTAAGAATAGTCTTAACTATTTAAACTAATGTATATAAACATAATACGAATTAATATTCATATCATTGTATGCGCGTGCACAAACCAATTCCCTCTCTTTTTTTTTCCGTTATGTTTTAGTGTTTTAGATGATAGATTTCAGTACCAATCGCCCACAATCGCTAACAAACACTCTGAAAACGTTATTACCCGCAACCGCAATCTAACCGCAGCGGTACAACCAGTCGAGCCCTTAATTTTTCTAGAACCATACTATATATATGTTGGATATGGAATATGTTTGCATTTGTTTGAACAAAGAAAATTCCATATCTTCATGTAACACTATATAATATAATAAAAGTTTGGTTTTGGAAACAAATATAAAAAAAAATAATTGTGTACACAGTTTACCTTTGGGAATGAAGTAACCTGCAAGGGTGGTGTCCTCTGTGGTCGCATGAGGGAAAACAAATGGAGCGACAGGGTGAAGTCTGAAAGATTCTCTAGCGCATGCTTTTATGTAGTTGAGGTTTGGTATGTCGCTTTCCTGCGCAAGCCTGTCTCTTCCGACCACCTTGTCGAGTTCGTCCACCGCCTTTTCGAGCGTCTCCGGTTGGTTCAACATCTCCGCGATTGTCCATTCCACGTTGTTTGGTTGGTTATCCATTGCCGCAATAAATATTTCCTGCGAAACAAGACGTGGAATTGGCTGATAGTTATAGTAATCTTTACTTATATATGTAGGCGTAGACGTTGTATTTTGATCTAACCATTCATTTTATAAAAGTATTATTCGCATGTATTCTTATGCTAGTTATCCTAATACCATACCCTGCATTGAGCTTTGATTTCTTCAGGTGCCAATAACGGTTTCCCCTCGATATCATTAAGCGTGATGAGAATATCGAGCCAATCTTCGATAACATCCTTCCCGCCTTTCTCCTTCCGTGACGCCATTCTCTGATCGACGATGTTATCGTTGTAATCAGCAATGATATCACAAGCCTCTCTTGCTTTCTTCTCTTGTCCATCCAAACCCAAACCCCTTATACAAGGAATGTAGTCCGATGTCATAAACCCGAATACACAATCCATCATCTCGAATATCGCCTCGACGTGCACTCTCTCCCTCGGCTCTAGCCCTCCATCGCCGCCATCTCTCACTTCCTTGTAAGGTCTCCGACCAAACAACATTCTCGTAGTCACTGCATAAGCATAAGTCCTCGCTATGTCCCTCACGTTCACCGTATTGGACCGTTCGTATAAGTTGTGAACGTGAGCTAACAGATTATCGGCTTCGATGTTTCTCACATGAAGCAACATGTTCAATGTTTTCCGAGACATAAATTCAGAAGCCATCACTCTTCTCATCTTCTTCCACTGATCTCCATAAGGAGATAAACCAGTTGACTTGAAACCGCCACTTAACAGTTCTGACGGGTAGGTTTCTGGTCTGCCGGCGAAAACCCCGTCTTTGTCCTTGAATGCTTCTCGGACAATCTCACCCGATGTTATTGTGATGACATGGACGCCGACAAAGCGGAAACATGCTATCTCCGTCTGCAGCTCGTCCATGACACGGTGTATCCACTTGAAAGTCGGCCTGTTCATGAGCATTCCGGCCAAGTTTCCGATGATAGGCCACGTCGGAGGACCCGGAGGAAGCCGACGGAGTCTGCTTTTTCGGGGTTTCGATAATTTTCCGGCTAGAAAAACGATCAGTAGAAGGGAGAGCACAAGAACTTTTTTTTTGGTTTTAACATTGAAACAGTGCAATGATGTTTTAGTAAGGCCGGTGATTAGATCCATCGTGTCGTAATCACGAATAACGATTGCACACATGTAATGGACATCATGTGTATATATAGGCTTTAAACTTTTGTTTGGTTTGTAGTTTCATGGCTAGTAGAGTGGCTTGCAATTATAAGTCGTTTTCGTTTGGTCTTTGAACTTTAAGGTGATGCCATAACTGAACGATGACATTTTTTGAGAAGATAAAAATTATTTATCTCTTATTGCCTTTCTCGTTAATAAACATGTTATACATGAGAATGATATTCGATAGATAAGATAGATACAAAGACAATTTTCTTTTTGTCATATAGACAAAATGACTCGATCTATTTTTTTTTTTTTTTTGTAATCGGATGTTCTGAGCCGAGACCCAGATTAATTTTTGGGGCGGAAGCAAGTCATGTGATTATAATTTGTGCTCTCTCCCTAACTTGGGACTCGAATTCAGGACCAGACAAACGTTTTGCATCTCATTTCACCGGTTGAACTCCAAATTGGGTATGATCCGACCTATTACACGTGCAAATACGGTATTTTATATTTTTATCTGTTGAAACTGACTAATAGAGTTTTTTCTTTCTTTCATTCTGATAACATTTTTTTGTTGTTTGACAGACATACCAAAAATACTGATATATTATAAATACAGTTAGGGAAAAAAAAACACAATCGCTACATAGTAAGAGACTTGTCGGAGGAGGATTATAGTTAGGACGAGATTAGACGAGGGAAAAAGCTATAAGATGTGGGGTGCGAGAGGAGAGAATCTGATGCAAAAAATAATAATCAGAAATTCTTAATCATGTAAGTTTATAAGATAATGATGCTTTGGTAAATATATTAATTAAATCTGATTATATTTTTATAATTTTTTGGTATTCAAAAATTATCGATTGGAACCAAATCAAATTCAATCTCTGTTGTCCACGGTAGAATTGTTGAGATATAATTGATCTTGAAGAATATTTGATGTTATTTTTATTTTATTTATTTAATTTGACAATCTCATTATTTATATGTTATTTGGTTATGGATGAAACATATATAATTTCGCAAATTTCTACGAGAATACCAAAAAATTGGTTATATTTGTCCATCCATCATCCATCATCCATCACAGCCTTCGAATTTTATATCGTTTTAATTTCTTTTTTTGGTTCGCTATTGCTCTTAATTACTTGCAAGAGTGGTCGGAACTTGGTCCACGTATCTAAATTTAAACCACGTATCCCAATTTGTTGTGGCCAACCTTGAACTAAGCCTTCGGAAATCCGACATATTTGGATAGACTAACCTACATGCATGGTTGCCCGTAAATCACGCACACACAAAAAAAACTTCTCAATTTATTAAAAAAACTATAAAAAAATCTTTGAATTTTTTCCGGTTTATTATTGGTTTTGGTGATACAATATAAGTTACAATTTGTTTTTTTTTTTTATGGTTTTTTCGTGGGATTAATTTCGAAAACCGACAAGAGGGTGGTACGTACTTTTATTAATTTATTCCGACCCAAGCAACAGAAAGACAGAGCGTCTGGCTCAGTTTTTAAATGTGGGGTACATATGTGGAGCTAGCCGGGGCTTAACGGACGCGACCAGAGGCTGGGACATGAACAAGCTGGTCTCCGAGTCAACGAGCTCGACCCGACCGCCATGTGGAAGGACGTTCCAACTGAAGCCTTGGAGAAGCCTCGCCAAAGACATAACGGTCATGTATGTTCCAAGCCTGTCGCCTACGCAGCCTCGACGTCCTGTGCTAAACGACACGAACCTCATCTCTCGCTCGTGAAGGCTCACCTCCCGCGAGATCCCGTCGCATCCGAGGTGGCGCTCCGGCTTGAAGACGTGAGGCTCGTCCCATACCTTGGGGGTTCTGCCCAATCCCACACGTCCCTTTTTTTTTTTTTTTTTTTTTTTTGGGGCAAAGACTAAATCCATTACTTTCTTTGACTAGACTACCTCGTAAAGAAATTAGACTACTACAACTTAAAGAATTCCTAAGCCACGAATACAAGACTTCTGGGATGTAAATGAGAACCATGCATGCTTCACGTGCTATTAGAGCTAGTCCTGATGGAAATTATATCGAAACTACCATTGTTTTGCTATATGAATTTCGTACTATACCTTTTATTACCATGTTTTTCCATGGCCAATTGGACTACCATATAAATTTAAATGGTGTGATCACCATAAAATTTTAATGGTATAACAAGTGTGACCTTAAAATATGTCATGATAGACATATTGGTCACACAAAAATTATGTAGAAAATAAATGTATGTACTAAAATAATGATATTTTTTATAATGTCCCGTCGTTGGATGTGGAATAGATTTACATTTTTTTTTTTGAGGGTTTGAGAGAGGTTTGAACAAAGATTATTCCATCTTCATGTAACACTATAAAAAAACGTGTACTCGACTTACCTTTGGGAATGAAGTAACCTGCAAGGGTGGTGTCCTCTGTGGTCGCATGAGGGAAAACGAATGGAGCGACAGGGTGAAGTCTGAAAGATTCTCTAGCGCATGCTTTTATGTAGTTGAGGTTTGGTATGTCGCTTTCTTCCACAAGCCTGTCTCTTCCGACCACTTTGTCGAGTTCGCCCACCGCCTTTTCGAGCGTCTCCGGTTGGTTCAACATCTCCGCGATTGTCCATTCCACGTTGTTTGGTTGGTTATCCATCGCCGCAAGGAAAATTTCCTACTAAAAATTACGTGGAATCGGCTGATAGTTATAGTAATCTTTACTTATATGTACGCATAGATATATTGATCTACCTATTCATATAGGAATATCATTCACATATATCTTATGCTAGATATATATATATATATTACCATACCCTGCATTGAGCTTTGATTTCCTCGGGTGTCAATAACGGTTTCCCCTCGGTATTGTTCAGCGTGATGAGAATATCGAGCCAATCTTCCATAACATCCTTCCCGCCTTTCTCCTTCCATAACGCCATTCTCTGATCGACAATCTTATCGTTGTACTCAACACTGATATCACAAGCCTCTCTTGCTTTCTTCTCTTGCCCATCCAAACCCAAACCCCTTAGACAAGGAATGTAGTCCGATGCCCTAAAGCCGAATACACAATTCATCATCTCGAATATCGCCTCAACGTGCTGTCTCTCTCTCGGCCCTAACCCTCCATCATCATCTTCTCTCACTTCCCTGTAAGGTCTCCGACCAAACAACATTCTCGTAGTCACCGCATAGGCATAAGTCCTCGCTATGTCCCTCACGTTCACCGTATTGGACCGTACGGATAAGTTGTGAACGTGAGCCAAGAGATTATCGGCTTCGACGTTTCTCACATGAAGCAACATGTTCAATGTTTCCATAGACATGACTTCAGAAGCCATTACTCTTCTCATCTTCTTCCACTGATCTCCATATGGAGACAAACCAGTTGACTTGAAACCACCACTTATCAGTTCTGATGGGTAGGTTTCTGGTCTGTGGGAAAAAGCCTCGTCTTTGTCCTTGAGTGCTTCTCGGACAATCTCACACGATGTTATAGTGATGACGTGGACGCCCAGAAAGCGGAAACATGCTATTTCCGTATGCATCTCTCCCATGACGCGGTGGATCCACTTGAAAGTCGGCATGTTCATGAGCATTCCGGCCAAGTTTCCGATGATAGGCCACGTCGGAGGCCCCGGAGGAAGCTGACAGAGTTTGTTTTTTCGTGTTTGCGATAATTTTCCGGCGAGAAAGACGATCAGTAGAAGGGAGAGCACAAGAACTTGAACATTGAAACAGTGCAATGATGTTTTAGTAAGGCCGGTGATTAGATCCATCGTTCGTGTCCTAATCGCGAATAACGATTGCACTAATGCGTATCTGGTTTCCAGGCAATTATAACAAGTCTTTTATAACTTTAAGGTGACGCGCCCTTCGGGGCCAGCTCAGTTGGTTGGGAGCATGGGGGCAACTCCATGAGGTTGGGTTTTCGAATCCTACCGTCTCCATTCCTCTGAGCTGCTCGCCTGCCAGTCTGTTATAACGGGCTGATTTACCTCCCACGTGTGTGTCGCAGGCTCGTGCACGTGGGCTTGGAGTTTGACCTGCAGCGCCTAGGCCCAACTACGATCCGAGCGTTAGGCGCGCCTGGTGGCCAGGTCTGGGGGACCGTTAGGCGCAGGTGGTGACCAGTTCGTCTCCGTTTGTAAGGGTAGGTAGTCACAGGGATTCCAATGTATTAAAAAAAAAAAAAAACTTTAAGGTGACGCCGTAACTAAAAAGACTTTATCTCTCGGTTTCCTCGTTAATAAAACGTGTTATATATCAATACAATTTTCTATTTGTTACATAGACAAAATGGCTCGGCTAAGTCGCTTTCCTTGGGTTGTTGAACTTTAAGCTGATCCCATAACTATAAAGACTTTATCTCTCATAGGTTTTCTCGTTAATAAAACATGTTATATATTATGAGCATGATATTTAATTAATAGAGAAAATAAAAAACAAAACACTAAAACTTTTCAATTTTGATTAAAAAACACTAAACTTTTGATTTTATCAAATAAATATTAAACCTTTTAAATTTATCATAAAAAATACTTAATTCTTTTACGATTATCAAAATAAACAAATGAACTGATACGTGACATAAAGAAATGTAAACATGTCAAATTATTGTCGTTGGTTTTTTTTACAATTGTATATATTTCATGTATTTTTTTGAATCATTTAAAAAGTTTAGTATTTTTTTGACAATCACATAAAAGTTTATGTTTTTTTTTGGACCATTTAAAAAGTTTAGTGTTTTTAAACTCATTTAAAAAGTTTAATGTTTATTTGACAAAAACAAGAATTCAATGTTTTTTTTTTGTCAAAATTATAAAATTTAGTGGGTTTTTTTTTGAATTTTCTCTATTTAATAGATGAGATAAATATCAAGACTATTTTCTTTTTGTTGCAGAGACAAAATGACCCGACTAATTACACCTGCAAACACGATACTTGATATTTCTATGTATTTGAACTGATTAATAGATTTGTTCTTCTTCCATTTTGGTAACATTTTTTTTTCTATTTGACAAAATACCAAAATACTCAGATATTAAAGGTAAAAAAAATACATATTTACCTGAATATATTTGTATGCGTGTATATTTAAGAGACTCATAAGAGGGTGAATGTTATGACGAGATTAGGCGAGATAAAAACGATAAAATGAGATGCGAGACGTGAGACAAGAGAAATTAATGTGAAAACATCGTACATGTTTATACACAAAATAATAAAGGGTTAAATTGAAATTAAAATACAAATTCAAAATTTGAAAACCTAGAAAACCAAAACCTACAACCGGAAAGACACAACGACTCGAAATGTGAAACCATGGAACAGTGAAATCGACGATTATTTTGATAAATCGCCGATATAAAAGAGGAAAATAATCCATGACAAAAAAAAATAATTGATGAAACGATTAGAGAAATATTGAATTTCAGGCAAGAAATGGATTAAATCGGATTAGAAACAAATAATTGATCCAAAACGAACAGAAAATAAACACGGAAATAAAATAAAATTAGAAATTGGAATAAACCGAACATATATCAAATTAAACCAGATATAGAGAAACCACATCAAATCTTACTAAACCAGAGACTAACCCAAATCGATTGAATAAAGAACTAAACCGTCTCTGGAGCGAACCTAACCAAAACTATACCAATCAACGGAACTAGCAAATGAAAATTTTCAATCGCAATTTCAACGGAAAATCGTTGGAAACCCGTTTGAAATTATTCAACAGACATTTCAACGCCAAATCAGTTGGGATGAATATTTCAATGGATATCTGTTAAACAGAACAGTTGAAAAAATATTCGGAATATCAACGAATATCCGTTGGGTTAACCAAAGTCGAAGTTTGGTCTCAATTAGTTTAGACTTTGTATTGACTTTATATGAGATTGTCGTGAGATCGTTACACTTTGGGTTTCCTCTTGTTCATGATTTTATTTCCCCGTGTTTTTCTATAAGCATATTTCTATGACGATGTTTTTATGCAAACAATGGTTTCCAAATGTATTTAGTATCGGTTTCTAGACTTACATTTTGGCCAAATCTGATATGTACAAACGTATGCAGTGTACATTATGTATTTTCGATTGTCGAATTTCGTAAATAAAACGACTTTCGGAAATTTTGTTTGATTTGTATTTTTATTGTACATTATGTATACGTGACGCAACTCGGGTGCGGAAAAATGGGTCACGACCTCACACTCTTCCTAGTACAGTTAGAGTTAAATCGGTAGTCGTTCACCCCATGTTTGAATCAAACCTCTTGGTGCAAGGCAATACTTTGTCGGTGTCTCGGAATATTTGCCAGATCTCTTTTGCTGAAAATGGATGGTTGCAAGGTTCTCTCCATCTGTCATTCCGTAGCGGTCTCGGGATGTTACACTAGATATCAACCCCTTGTATAAAAAATCTTAATTATGTAAATTTATAAAATAGTAATGATTTGGTAAAAATATTAAACCTTTCTCATGAGGGATTAGGCTTTACACCAAAAAAACAGACAATTAGTAACGAATCATTGCAAATTCGCGACGAAATTTTTCGTTGCTAAAGCGTTGCAAAATCGTTGCAAAAAATTATTTTTGCAATTAATAACACTTTGCAATGCAATAATTTCATTGCTAATTTGCAACGAAATCTTTCGTTGCAAAATTATTTGATTACAAATCAGCAACGATTAGTAACGAATTTTGCTTTTACAACGTTTTGCAATGCAATAATTTCATTGCAAAAATTATCATTTAATAATTAATATGATTTGACCGCCGAAAAAGTAAATATAGAAATTTACAATGCATTTTCTTTGCTAATTTGCAACGAAATTGCGTTGCAAATTTAAAATAAATTTATGGCTACGATTGATTATGGTTTTCACGCCTTTTGCAACGCAATTTCGTTGCTAATTGGATTTGCAACACAATTGCGTTACAAGTTTGCAACGAAATTGCGTTACAAACGTTTTGTATATATTGAAACGAATTTCGTTATTTTTTATTTTATATTTATACTAATTAATATTTTTTTTAATTATTTATTCTTTTAAATTTTAATTTACAACTCTTTAAAAAAAAATCTAAAATCCCACAAATCTATATTTTTATTATCTTTATTTATTATTTATATTTATTAATTACTTTTTTATAATTATTTATTTATAATTTTTAAAATTTATCATTTTAACATTTTTTTTTTAATTTTTATATTATTTTTAGCAACGAAATTGCGTTGCAAAAATAACAACGAAATTGCCTTGCAAAAATAGCAACGAAATTGTGTTGCTAAATTAGCAACAAATTGTTTTTCGTAACAAAACGTTGCAAATATTAGCAACGCTTTGTAACGAAAATATTGCATTGCAATTCGTAACGAGAATATTTCGTTGCAAAGTGTTGCAAATTGCAACGAATTGAAACGCTATATTATTTTGCAATGACGTGTTTGCAATGAAAATAATTTCGTTGCAATTTTGTTGTAAACTGTAATTTGCAACGAAATTTGACTGTTTGTAACGACAAAATTGCGTTGTTAAATCCTTATTTTTTTGTAGTGTTAAGAGGATTTTAACATGGAACAAAGTACTATGCCTCAAGCAAATATGAAACCTTTTTACTAAAGCAGGTTCCCTCAAGATGACATGGGTGAAGACAAATCAGTTCAAAGGAAAGCCATTTTGGATCCTTAGTTCACGTGGCTCGGAAAGCTGGGCATGGAAACGGATTCTCAAGCTCTGACCAGTGGCTAGGAATATGCTTCGGTGTAAAGTGGGGCTTGGTGAAAATTGTCGTTTTTGGTATGACTCCTGGCTACCTCGGGGGCGTTGATGGACACCCTTGGTGAAGCAGACCCTCGCCTTCTAGGCATCCCATGACTAGCTCTGGTATCGAATGTCTTTTCTGCCTCAGGTTGGAGGCTACCTCGAGCTAGAGGTGCCGAGATTGAGAGAGTCCACATGGAAATCTTGGGCCTTCTTGCGTCGACCCGGGCTGCATCCCCAGATCATTTCTACTGGTCACCTACTACATGCACCGATACTTTGCCTTCGATCTCCACCAAAGCAACTTGGCAACAGCTCCATCAACTGCCTCCTCCTCTCGCTGGGTATAAAGTTGTCTGGTTCTCTGGTGCCACGTCTAAGCATGCGCTCATGTTCTGGTTGGCAGCTAGGAATCGTCTCCCCCACTCGTGACCGCTTGAATTCTTGGGCTCTTAATGTTCTGTCCCATTGCGTTCTATGCAACAGTGGGGAGGAATTTATGGACCACTTGTACTACACTTCTACCCTATGGACATTTCTTCTAACCTCCTCACATGTCTCTTGGACTAATCTGGGATCATTTGAGAATCATCTTTGTTGATTATGGACTGTGACGCCAATCGATGCATCAAACTCATGGTAATGCTGCTATTTCAGGCAGTAATACACTTTGCTTGGCATGAGAGGAAATGTAGGGTGCATGGTGGAAGCCCTCATCTGTCAACTGTTCTGCGCAAAGAGATCCTACGGTATGCTAAACGGAAGCTATGGGCGTTGAAGTCTTTAGGCACGGGTCCGGCTACTACTCCAGAACTACTGCAAATATGGTTCTCATTATTTGACAGGCTTTGACTAATCGTATCATTTCACTCTCGGCTTTTGAATTTGTAACAACCGCTACTCTTTTGTAAAGTGTTTTTCATCAATGGAATTTACAATTACAACAAAAAATAAATATTAAACTTTGTAACCTCCTCTCACTTGATTCTGGGACTGAAATCGATCTTAAGCCGGAAATACATGTGTGTTCTGTCGATTTGCAAGGAACACATATTGTGTTATGTTTTGGGAAAAACATATATTCAGAAATTTTCCAAACTTGCACGTAATTAACAATTGAAAGTTTTACAAAGAACTGATTCATAACTGTAGCAAACCCCCATACATGAACTTCCTTAAACTGACATAATCGACTAACTGCAACTCCCTCGTTATCTTCTGGTGTCAGAAAGTTGAGCCAATCGCGCTTGTGATCCAACATACGCAATATTAGAATATATCAAAAGGTTAACGTGTTCAAACATGGATTTTGAAGATTTCTAAGGTATTTGGGGTGTTTGGGATGTGAGAGACAAAGTAGAACTCGAACAAAACACCACCGAGAACACTTAGATTAAAGGAGACAAGGAAGAGATGGTGAAAGGGGACAATGTCCCTTGTATTTCCTTAACTAAATCTGTACAATATGATGAGAATTTATACAAGATGAAGATGAGCTGCCAACGGCTAGATTGAGAAGGAAAAAGAGGAAAATAGATCAATTAGAAACATCTAGTGACAACTAAGGAAAGAATGAATTATGTAGATTAGATTTGTAGGAGACTTAATGAAGATCTTGCTTGATTGAAATCCTTGATTCCCAACGTCTCTTTTGGTCAGATTTGGGGCAAATAGAGTCAATGGTTTATGCCTCATTTTTCTCTCCAAGACAATAAGGAACCTTGGCCAAATATGGAATGTTTCTTCTTCACACGTCCAAGCTTTATGCTTGATGTTTTGGTTGAGTTTTGTCCATTGAGCTTCAACATTCTCCCTCAAGATTAGTTTGAGGAGATATCAAAAAGTTAATCTTGGAGAGCGAATGCCGTTGTAGTTGCGTTGTGTTGTATCCAAACATTTCGGCTCTTTCCACATCGGTTCTTTGAACATGAAGCTTCCAAAATATCCTATTTTTATTTTTATTTGCTGCAATATCTTAAGCAATTGATTAGAATACACATGGGAGGCCTTAGCACTCCGTTTAATACATAAAACTAAATATAATGATGTGAGCATATGATTATTATCAAATAAAAGCAAGAAAAGTGTTCTAACATACTTACCAAACCTAGAGTTGTTGGAATTCATTGGTAAATCAAACTTTCTTTTAGACAGATTTTTGTTTTCGTCTTTGTTGCTTGAATGAGTGATTTGTTTGGTGTCTTTGGTTTTAATTTTCGCCTCCCACACATCTTCCATGAGAGTCCTAAATATTTCCTGTGCAAAAATACTCAAACTACCAAGCATATTATGTGAAATACAAAACTCAAATGAGATAGGACAAGAGAAGAGATTACAAACTCGGTTGTTTTTCCATGTCAATAGAAAACTCGGATATAATTGGATGCTCGGATATGGGATGAGATCGAATGAGTGTGGTGCCTCTTTTTCAGGGTTCTTTGCCTCCACCTTGAGGTTATCCATTATCACGTTCATCTCATTTCTTCCTTCTCCCGATTTTACATCATCCGAGTCTACTTCTTCTCCATGGGTTTCACACTCGGTTTGTATATCTTCTTCTTCATCCGTTTGTGCAGATTTTTCTTTAACAGCTTCTTCTTGGTATTTTTGAGGATCCCAAATGAAACGTATATTCATACATTCCCCTTGAATTATCCGAAACCTGTTCCGTTTTACTAAACAAAAACTCATTTAAAGCATGGTTAGTTAATTCATCCTCCGATCGAGTTTCGGGGATACCTTTGTGAAAATAATCCACACGTTCTTGACACCATTTAAGCTTTGCTTGATGCGTGGATATTGTTCCATTTGAAGATAAAACATGCAGAATTAATTCATTATGTATACCATCGATCATGCTAAGAAAGATAAAGAGAATACGCTTTTCCGATGATATATCCGGATGGAGTTCTTCGATTTGCTTCCACGCATCCTCTTCTTCTGCCTTTCTCTCCTTTTCATCCATGGAAAACCACTTATCTTGAAGGATTTTGAGCCTCCTTAGTTGTTTGAAAGTGGATGCAATTTGTAAATCCATTGAATGAATTTGCATTGTCATCTAGACTTGCTCTCTGTAACACCTTGTGATGAAACCAAGAGAGTTAAAAATGATGTTCTCCTCTTTACAGGTCGAGAGGGATAAAAATGGTGATGATTTCACCCAAAAATAGCTTCACAAATAAAGAAGTAAACTGAAAGAAGCATGCTCCTCTTCGGTTTAGAATTTTACCGAGAGGGAATATATATGCTTTTCGATTAAAACTTTTGTGGTGTTTGCAGCGGAAGGAAAAAAAACTTTTGGCACTCTAAATCTAAGTGTTCTGATATCATGAAGATTTCTAAGGTATTTGGGGTGTTTGGGATGTGAGAGACAAAGCAGAACTCGAACAAAACACCACCGAGAACACTTAGATTAAAGGAGACAAGGAAGAGATGGTGAAAGGGGGACAATGTCCCTTGTATTCCCTTAACTAAATCTGTACAATATGATGAGAATTTATACAAGATGAAGATGAGTTGCCAACGACTAGATTGAGAAGGAAAAAGAGGAAAATAGATCAATTAGAAACATCTAGTGATAACTAAGGAAAGAATGAATTATGTAGATCAGATTTGTAGGAGACTTAATGAAGATCTTGCTTGATTGGAATCATTGATTCCCAACGTCTCTTTTGGTCAGATTTGGGACACAAATAGAGTCAAGTGGTTTATGCCTCATTTTTTTCTCCAAGATAATAAGGAACCTTGGCCAAATATGGAATGTTTCTTCTTCACACGTCCAAGCTTTATGCTTGATGTTTTGGTTGAGTTTTGTCCATTGAGCTTCAACAGATTTGGGTTTATTTGGGTTCGTTACTCAAATCCAATCAGGGTTTCTTCTCTCTTTTCGTTTTTCACTTTGTACGTAAACACTCGTGTTCTTCATTTTAGAAATGGAAATGATGCCAGAGAAGCTTTCTCAATTCTATTTGGAAGTCTCTCTCAAGTTCAAAATGGTATCACACGTGAAATTTTTACGATGTCGTTTTCACCTATTTGATTTCACCATTTGATTCGTTAAACCCAGTTTTGAAGTAAAGGTTAGGGATTTGATCGTCAAGAGCTTTGATCAGCTCTATATATATGAAAGTACGAATGTATGTATATAGCCAAACCGATAAGAGTGGTGGTACTTTGATTAATTTCTTGGGACACAAGCAACCGAACGGCAGAGCGTCTGGCTCAGTTCTTAAATGTGGGATACATATGTGGAGCTAGCCGGGGCTTAACGGACGCAACCAGAGGTTGGGACATGAACAAGCTGGTCTCCGAGTCAACAAGCGCGACCCGACCGCCATGTGGAAGGACGTTCCAACTGAAATCTCCGAGTCAACAAGCGCGACCCGACCGCCATGTGGAAGGACGTTCCAACGGAAACCTGGAAGAACCCTCGCCAGAAACATAACGGTCATGTATGTCCCAAGCCTATCGGCTACGCAGCCTCGACGTCCTGTGCTAAACGACACGAACCTCATCTCTCGCTCGTGAAGGCTCACTTCCTGCGAGGTCTCGTTGCATCCGAGGTGACGCTCCGGCTTGAAGACGTGAGGCTCGTCCCATATCTTGGGGTTTCTGCCCAATCCCAAACGGCTCACCAGAACGTGACTACCTGTTAGTTTATATGATATCATTAATTAGTGTTGATTTTTATGTACATCCATTTACTTTTGTGAATCGAAACCATGATTTTTGAGATGTGAATAAGCACCATGCATGCATCACCATTGAGTCATATGTATGCATGGACGGATCTAGGTTTATCAACGCCAGACCGCTTGTGCTTCATGTGGTATGAAACTAGTCTTATAATTGTTTAAATATATATATATATATATATATATATATATATATATAATTAATATTAATTTTATGTATCAATAAATTTTTAGATTGAATTATAAATAATATGAAAGTTGTGTACACAGTTTACCTTTGGGAATGAAGTAACCTGCAAGGGTGGTGTCCTCCATAGTCGCATGAGGGAAAACGAATGGAGCGACAGGGTGAAGTCTGAAAGATTCTCTAGAGCATGCTTTTATGTAGTTGAGGTTTGGTATGTCGCTTTCTTGCACAAGCCTGTCTCTTCCGACCACTTTGTCGAGTTCTTCCACCGCCTTTTCGAGCATCTCCGGTTCGTTCAACATCTCCGCGATCGTCCATTCCACGTTGTTTGGCTGGTTATCCATTGCCGCAATAAAAATTTCCTGCGAAACAAGACGTGGAATCGGCTGATCTTTACTTATATATATGTAGGTGTAGACGTTGTATCTTGATCTAACCATTCATATTATAAGAGTATTATTCGCATATATTCTTATGCTAGTTATCCTAATACCATACCCTGCATTGAGCTTTGATTTCTTCGGGTGTCAATAACGGTTTCCCCTCGGTATCATTCTGCGTGATGAGAATATCGAGCCAATCTTCGATAACATCCTTCCCGCCTTTCTCCTTCCGTGACGCCATTCTCTGGTCGACAATCTTATCGTTGTACTCAACAATGATATCACAAGCCTCTCTTGCGTTCTTCTCTTGCCCATCCAAACCCAAACCCCTTAGACAAGGAATGTAGTCTGATGCCTTAAACCCGAATATACAATTCATCATCTCAAATATTGCCTCAATGTGCTCTCTCTCCCTCGGCCCTAGCCCTCCATCATCACCATCTCTCGCTCCCCTGTAAGGTCTCCGACCAAACAACATTCTCGTAGTCACTGCATAAGCATGAGTCCTCGCTATGTTCCTCACATTCACCGTATTGGACCGTTCGTATAAGTTGTGAACGTGAGCTAAGAGATTATCGGCTTCGACGTCTCTTGCATGAAGCAACATGTTCAATGTGTTCCGAGACATAACTTCAGAAGCCATCACTCTTCTCATCTTCTTCCACTGATCTCCATAAGGAGACAGACCAACTGACTTGAAACCGCCACTTACCAGTTCTGATGGGTAGGTTTCTGGTCTGTCGGCAAAAATCTCGTCTTTGTCCTTGAATGCTTCTCGGACAATCTCACACGATGTTATAGTGATGACGTGGACGCCGACAAAGCGGAAACATGCTATCTCCGTCTGTAACTCGTCCATGACACGGTGTATCCATTTGAAAGTCGGCCTGTTCATAAGCATTCCGGCCAAGTTTCCGATGATAGGACACGTAGGCGGGCCCGGAGGAAGCCGAAGGAGTTTGTGTTTCCGGGTTTTCGATAATTTTCCAGGGAGAAAAGCGATTAGTACAAGGGAGAGCACAAGAAGAACTTGAACGTTGAAACTGGTCCATGATGTTTTGGTAAAGTTGGCGATTAGATCCATCGTATCGTAATCACGAATGGCGGTTGCACTCTATTCATCATATAGTGTGTGTGTGTATATATAGGCTTTAAACCTTGCCTGATTTGTGGTTTCAAGGATATGATAATTGCTCGCAGTTATAAGACGGCTTTGTTTGGTTGTCGAACTTTAAGGTGATGCATTTACACACATATGTAAACATATGAATTGCTTTAATTTCCATATATATATATATATATATATATATATGTATATATGCATGTATGTGTATATAAGTATTGCATGCACATTAAAATGACAAATCCTAAATATTAAAAATCTAAACCGTAATGTAACAATACATAGAAATATATTTATATGATTAGGCAATAATGCCAATGGGTAATTTTTTTTATTTATAAAAAAACCCATTATTAATATAGTAGTTAGTTGCCGTTAAATATAGTAGGAATTGTCATTTAATGTTTAATTATGAATTGTTTTAAGACATATTTCGAAAGTTTGAAACGGAGACATGAAAGAAAACAATTACTCCACTACGCTGTTTATTATAGTATTTAATTTTGGCAATTACTTCGTTGACCAACCCACCCGCGTTTTCCTAGTTTAAGAAATATATTCATCCACCTCAAGGCCGGCATTGGATTCCTTGGCCCATTTAATATATATATATATATATTTCTTCTAAAACAAATATTTTCAACATATTATTTTATTATATGTAAATCCGTCCACAACTATACCATTGATGTCCCTGAAATACATGACTACATACATTATTCGAAAGACAAACCAAATACTAACGTTTTCTTCTCGAGGTCGCATCGCATGTAGCAACTTTTGATAATTATTTCGAGATGCAAAGAAAACGACGACCAGACAAATACAAAACGAAATAAAATGAAAGATAAATTCAGTCTGATCACATTGTCTGAATTTATCGTATATAAAAAAAATCATCAGAAATCTATAACCATACAATTTATTGCTATTTGAATTAGAGAGAGACATAGAGTAGAGAGAGAGAGAGAGAGAAACACAATTGGGATAAATTTCTGTATATTCGAATGATAAAGAGAATTGAAGTTTTTTTTTAATACAAGACCAAAATGACTATTTAACAAAAAAAAAAAGACCAAAATGACTAAATCAAACTGCAAACCAAAAAGCTAGATAAAGTCTTGAAACAAAATAAACCGGGACTAAACCAGAAATAAATTGAACCCAAAAAAATTAATGTAAGACAATCTTCAAATAAAAAGCAATAAAATAATGGTTGTTTTGGTCATCATTAATGTATAAATTATAAAAATATAAAACGAATTAAAAATAAAAAAATTACGAAAAGTATTGTTAATCTAAAACAATAATTAATATGACAGTGTGATCTAGAATTTTTTTTGCATTTTATAGATTGATCGGTTAGTTTAATTCAAAGTATTATTATAGTCTTTGAGCTAATTAAGAAATATCCATTGATATTCCATTAAAAAAGTTATAATTAATAAACATCATAAACTATGCATATTTAGACATCGAACTTTTAAAACTATGAATGCTTAAATAAATATATATATATATATAAATAAATCTACGAACGAATAGATCCGACATTAGCGGATATGAAATTTCTAACGTATTTCCAGTTCCAACAAAGCAGGAGAGAATCAAGCAAGAAGAAGATCATCCTCATCATCATGAACACCATCGTATCTCCTCTGCGTCCTCTCCTTGTACTCTTCCTCGTCCATAGTGTCACATAAAACACTTCCTCTTGTTTCGGGCAATCCAATCACGAACAATCCCGACACGAGTATGATCAGCCCGAACAGTCCGTACGACCAGAACACGTTTCTCCGACCAGCCGCCACCATCACCGGGCTGAAAACCCCGCCGAGCACCAACGCCTGCTGACGTGGACAAACGGAACACACAAGAACGCAGAGAAAAGCACCATTGACGAAATCAGGGTTCAAAAAGTTGCGAGCTAATTATGGATTTTTCACATCACCTGTCTCGCCATTGCTATGGCAGAGTTCCTCACGCACGCGGGGAAGAGTTCAATCGTGTAAATAAGCTCCATGTTGAACGCTGAACACGCACTGAAGTAAGAAACCAGCTCTAGCACAAGCTGTGACGCCCCGTTATGGAGCGTTAGATTGTGTTGTATGAATATGAGAAGGCTTGAAACTCCACCCATGGCTGTGAATCCGATCAATGCCTTCTTCCTGCT